GTTAGGAGCTGGGCAGGCAGCCTGGCTCAGGCCTGGCTCACACCGGTCCGGGACCTGCCCCCCGTGGCTCTGTGTTTAAAGTGCGTTAGGAGCTGGGCAGGCAGCCTGGCTCAGTCCTGCCCCATGCCGGTCTGGGACCTGCCCCCTGTGGCTCTGTGTTTAAAGTGCGTTAGGAGCTGGGCAGGCAGCCTGGCTCAGGCCTGGCTCACACCGGTCCGGGACCTGCCCCCCGTGGCTCTGTGTTTAAAGTGCGTTAGGAGCTGGGCAGGCAGCCGGGCAGGGGCCTGGCTCACACCGGTCCGGGACCTGCCCCCCGTGGCTCTGTGTTTAAAGTGCGTTAGGAGCTGGGCAGGCAGCCTGGCTCAGTCCTGGCTCACACCGGTCCGGGACCTGCCCCCCGTGGCTCCGTGTTTAAAGTGCGTTAGGAGCTGGGCAGGCAGCCTGGCTCAGGCCTGGCTCACACCGGTCCGGGACCTGCCCCCCGTGGCTCTGTGTTTAAAGTGCGTTAGGAGCTGGGCAGGCAGCCTGGCTCAGGCCTGGCTCACACGGGGTCTGGGAGCTCAGATCCCACCCTGGACAAGGGCTGCTGCCACTCCACACTACTGGTCCACGAGGGGAGCTGGATTTAAACTGGCTCCCCTTGTGGACCAGCTCCCGCCTGGCATCCCACACTGCTGCCTCTGATGAGAGGCAGCAGCGCAGAGTGGCAGGTGGCTCCCCGGGAGTGGGGCAGAGCGCACTGGCTGCTGGCCCCACCCCCGGGGACTAACGAATAGTTGAGTAGCTGCTAGGAGTTCCTGAGAGGAATCGAGTGTTCAGTGAACCGATAGGTAACATGCCCAATTCTGGCTCTCTCTCAGGATGTGAAGTACATTGCCATCAGTGGGTTCCTATTTCTCCGCTTCTTTGCTCCTGCCATCTTGACACCAAAGCTGTTCAACCTCCGCGACCAGCATGCTGACACCCGGACCAGTCGTACGCTTTTGCTGCTGGCCAAGGTACCCAACAGGAAAGAGGGCTGGGAGAGGGGAGGAACCTCCAGCTTTGTGCTGTTTGACTCCTTGCCTGATCCCTGCATGGGGTTCTGGAACACGCCTCAGATAGCACCTCTCCTAGTGGAGCAACCCACCAAGGCAAAAGAAGCCCAGGTCTCCTGGGCCAGGTTCTCAGCTGGTGCAACTCCACATTGGTTTCAGTGGAGCTATGCCAGTTTGGAGATCTGGCCAGGGTGTCCTTGGGGTCACGTGGTGACTTGATACCAGCCTCTAGGAGCCTGCAAGGGGAGACGATTCCTGTTGCCCTCGTGGATTCTGAGGGGCTCTCTAAAGAAGAATGGGAATAGGTGGCTGGAAGCTGTAGCCACGCCTTTCCTTAGAAATTAGGCACCAGGGGTTAAGAATGAGGGCGATTAACCATCGGAACAAGCTGCCCAGGGAAGTGGAGGATCATCGGACGCAGCCTGACTGCTTTTCTGGAAGAGGCATTCGCCAAGCCCAAGTTGCGGGGCGACTGGCCTGGGAGCTGCAGGAGCGTAGACTCAATCTGACCTCCAATTCTAACTGTGACACGAGGAACGTGTGCCGTTAGGAGCCATCCGACCTGCCCCAGCCACACAAGGCAGCCAGGTGGCTGTGTGTAGAGCAAAGCAACAGACGGCTGTGGGGGCCATTCAGTTAGCTGCCGGGGCAGTTACCCAAGCCGGGGCAGCGTGAATACTGCGGAGGGGCAT